TTATCAGTTAATTTATTTAAAATTATGGGCACAGTTACAACAATTAATATTTACAACAATGATTTCATGATAAAATACAAAAAGAGAAAGTATAAGTATAGTAAATGGTAAGAATAAGATTAAAGCAATATAAGAAGGGTAAAGGTAGAAGGTGATGTGGGTCGTGATGTTGGTAGAGAGGGTGAATTGGGATGATGTGAAAAAGAAGAGGGACCCCCGATATAAATGAACCCAAATATGTACAACTAGAGACCAATACGATTACAAATATTTACAATTATGTATATTGCTCGTAGGCTGTGTGATAATGTTCAGTTGGATGGTTGCAGCTCATCCATAGTTGGAGCTGCATCGTCACAGCCTAGGTGTTGTCGATAAATGTTTGTTGATCCACGGATGGCGTCGGTGCAGCACAGTTTCCTAAAAAGATTCTTGTACCGCCGCGTCATCCCCATCCTGACGCACAGATATTCGTTTGGGCGGTACCATGAACCAAGAGCACCAACGACGAAGGGGATCACTTGGCATTGCCTGCCCGATTTGATGAAGTGGCGCTTGAGGGGCTCATATTTCGTAATTTTCTGCTGAGCAGCCTCGGCCAGCGCGTTTTCATCGTTGTCAAACGGACAGGCAACGTCGATAATCAGGACTTCATTATCCTCCTCGATGACAATGTCGGGGCGAAGTCGGAGTCCCGAACCCTGTACGGCGCGGTCTGTGGTGATCTCTCCAAATCTCGTGGCGTTCAGTAGGCAAGTGACAAGGAGATTGTGGCGGTCTCGAATTTGCACCATCGACGGGCGGCAGTGGCAGATGACGTGAGGGAGTGTCTCGGGTTGGAGGCAGTGGCGGCATGTGGGTGAAGCGTGTGAGAAGCGGCTCTTGTGGGCGTTGAGGGGCAGGACGTTGAGTCTGGCACGATGAATGAACCTCCAGTCTTTAAATCGGATATTGAGGCCATTCATGTGCCAGCTCGAACCATTACCATAGACGTCCTCCACAAGGCAGCGGGCAACTTTCCCCTGGTCCGGGAGTGATGTGAGGGTGTCAGCGTGGCGTTGTTGTGATAGGCAATGGAGGAATAGGGAGATCTGCTTTGAATTGACTTTATCAGATTCGTCTGCAGAGATGGTGGGTGGGTCGTTGTCGGAGAAGTGGATGGTGACGTGTTGACGGCGGCATGCTTTACGAACGCGGGACCAGAGGGAAGAACGTGAAGAATAATGAAGTGTTTTGAGGCAGGGGTCGTCGTGCGCGGAGAGGTACTTTGTGATGAGGTCTGCGGTGGGGTTGGATTGTGTGGTTTGGCGGACGAATGATCGTAGGTCTTCCCGTGCGATGGTGCTAACATTGGCGTCGTTGAAGCCAGGATACGGACGGCCTGAACGATGGCTTGGAGGTCGCATTCCACGTCCGGATCTTGCAAGCCCAAACCGCCAGCCTTCTTCGCCGCGAAGAAATAGCTCTGCGTCCCGAGTGGGCAGATTGCAGATCTCACGCAGCACCCGGACGAGCAGCGAACGGTATTCACTCAATGATTTTTTCAGAGGATCACCCGCCCGGAGTGCATACGTGAGGCAGGGTTGCACGAACGTCCGAATAGCATCGAGTTTCTGCCAAGGTGCTAGGAGTGAGTTGTTGATGGCGTGGAGGTCATAAATGAGGCGTGGGATTATTGATGGAATGTCGTCAATGCTGTGGATCACACCTATCGGCACCCCTAAATAACGATAAGACTGTTCGTTTTCGGGAGCCGGTAGGTGATCACCGTGAAGGTGAAAGTGTGGCAATCCGTCCAGAGGCGTCGTCTACCGTCAGGTGTGAGGAAGAGGGTGGCACACTTGTCTGGTCGGAATTCGAAACCTAGCACCGAGGCAGCATCAGCAGCAGTGTCCAGGAGCAGTTGGAGGGTCTTCTGAGTTCGTGCCATGAGAACAAGATCGTCAGCATACGCAAGGCAGGAGATGGTGCGATTCTGGAACTTGCACACCCCAGCCCTTTGCGTCTGAGCCCTGTCCTTAACTGAGCGCAGGATGAGCTCCAGACAGAGGTTGAAAACAATAGGGCTGAGGGGGCACCCTTGTTTCACGCCAGCATGGACAGGGATGGATGTGGTTCTTCCACCCAGTGTGAGGATGGTGGTGGATGCACCAGCATAAGCGTTCATGATGAGTGCAACCATGTTTGGAGGAACATCGACGTGCAGAAGGGACGAGCGGATGACCTGGTGCGACACGCTACCGAAGGCGTTACAGAGATCGAGCCAGGCTATGCTCAGTTTTTGCTTTCGACGGCGAGCATCAGCCACTATCGACTTGAGCATGAATGTGTGTTCGTAACAACCTTCGGAGGGTCTGGCACTCTTCTGCTCGTCCGAGAGGATCCCCATGTCGATGCTCCACCTTGTGAGGCGTTTGGCAAGCACCCCCATGAACAGCTTATACATGGTCGACATGAGGGCGATGGGGCGGAAGTTGGTGATGTCGCTGTCATCACCCTTTTTGTATATGAGGATGGTGACAGCCTCTTTCCATGGTTGTGGCACGTTGCGTTCGTGGTGGCAACGGGTGAATATGAGGTGGAGGATGGCGGCGGTGGGATCAACTTTCTTCAGGTGGGAGTACTCACATTTCCATGCGAGTACTCGCATTTCCATGGAGCAGGCTGTCCATGCCGGGTGCAGTGTTCACCGAGGAGCTAAGTTTCGCAGCGATTTCAGCCTGGCGAAGTTCTGCGTAGAGGTCATCTGATATTGGGTCGTCTCGTGCAGTGGGGGTGAATTTGTGGAGGTGCTCTTCCAGGATGTTGGTGTTGGTGTGTTTTTCCTCGAAGGATGTGGTAAAATGTGACTCGGCATCGTCGATGGTGCCAGTGTAGATTGTGTTGTTGTTCTCCAGGATCTTACGTGCCGCTCGTTTTTTGGAGTGGTAGTAGAGACCCTGGAGACGCCGGCCGGTGGGGTCGAATGATGTGATGTGGCGACCTTGTGGTGGACGGTGTGAGGAGGTGGGTTTGGGGTCTGATGGTTTCGGTTTGTTGCGTGAGGTGGAGGATCTGTTGAGGTGGGTGGCGAGTTCTCGAGCAGCAGCGAAGTCGGTGCAGTGTTGGGTGAAGTCGGCCCAAGAGGAGTCTTGTGAGAATGTAGACCGCCATTTCTCTCTGAAGAGGAGAAGGGTGGTCTGGTCGTCGGTGGATGGAGGTTGCTCGTCATCGTTATAGAAGCCGTCGACACCATCTTCATCATCAGAGGGGCCGGGGACGGTGATGGGTGATGGAATACGATCCGCTCGCGGTGCCCAGGTTGGTGTGACGGGATGTTATCGTCGGCCAAGATGGGTGCTGGTGGGGAAGTTGATGTTGGTGGGCTGAGTGATGCGGTGGGTGGTGAGAATGAGTTGCGGGTGAATGGTGTGAAGTTCGTTGGTGGTAGTGTGGGTGGGTCTGCTTGGAAATTGGATTGGGCAGTGCAATGTCTTGCATGCAATGGTCGTGGATGTGGTCGGTGGGTTGCAATGTGGAGGGAGCTTGAGGGCTACTAGAGGTACTCCCCCTTATCTCCATGAGGCGTTCAAGAGCAGTGGCGGCACATTTGGCCCCTATAGAGGAGCTGGGTGAAGTGTCTATACTGCAGGTGGATGGTGGGTTGTTCTGCTGGCCACAACACGGGGTGTTTGTAGTTGCGTCCGCGGCAGGCTGTGGTGGAGAGTGTGAATTGTCTTCTGCAACGAGTGCACGTAGGTGGGAGATTTTGGTGTTGATGGATGCGAGGATGGATTTGCGTTGGTCGTTGGTCGGGTGGTGTGTGATGCCATGGATGAGGGAGCGAGGGGTGAAGTTGTCGGTGGGATCTTCTGGAGAAGGGTCGGGTTCATCCAGGATTTGCGGTGGTGATGGGTTGGGATCTGATGGTGGCAACTGCGAGGCGTCTTGCGTGGAGAGGCTGTGTTCTGGGGATTGGGCAGAAAACAGCAGCGGCGATGAGAGTGGTGGGGTGAATGTTGATGGGATTGAGGCACTGGAGGGGGCAGGCGTGAGAGATGGGTCAGCTTGAGATGAGGGTTGTTGGTTGGTGGAGGTGGGTGGTCTTGAGTGGGTCGGTGGTGAGGTTTGGTATGAATTGCAGGTGTCCAGCACGGTCGGACTTGTCAAGTCAGGAATGGGGCTGCCAGGTGTGAGAGAAAGACGGTAGTGGAGGAAGTGGGAGTGGTTGTTCTCAGGCTTTAGTTGGTGGCTCTGTAGGTGTGACGGGTAGTCTTCCTCACGCACGTAGCCATTGCATGACTGACAGTAGTACGTGAGGGAGAGGGGTTGATTGGGGTGTGTGGTGTGGAAGTGATTTTTGAGAGTTGTGGGGTCCGGAGCGCGAGCGACGTGAAAAGTACAGCCTTCCATGGGGCAGCAGAGGTCTTGATGGTTGGCGTCTGCGATGACTGTAGCGGAGTATGTGCTGGATGGTGAGGTTTCAACTGTTGACGAGGTTGAATTCTCGGTGGTGAGGTGGAGAGTAGCAGTCTCTGGGTGATAGGATCGATGGTGAGTTGAGGTGGAGTGAAAGGCGATTGCTGCTTGTGGGAGTGTCGATGAGCTTGCACATGTTGGTGGGATTCTGGGGTCGATGTATGTGTTACAAAGACCACAGAGGTGGGAGACTACCAGCTCGTGTTGTGGGTGGTTCTTGGAAAAGTGGGTTGCAGGTTCCGATACCAGCAACTTGTTTGCTGACATACGTACAGCCTGATATGGGCAGCGGATGTCTTGTGGATGGATGTCCACACGGTATGTGGCTTTGCAGCGCTGGGCCGGGACGTCGTCATACTTCGGGGTCCCGTGGTGAGCGGTGCCAGTGTTCAGCCAGCGCCCACGGGTCTTGAACCATTTCATGCAGTATACACACGTGGGCATGTTGGGGTATACGCGGGAGAAGAAATGGACAACAAAACACCAAAGTTTTTATTATTACCGCTAACAATGCGCGTATGCAACCGCAAAATGATAAGTAGGGGGGTTCCGAAAGAATGTATATTAAAACACGGCAAAATGGCAGAGAAGATTGTTAGGAGTGCGCGTGAGATGTATCGATGTAATCGTTTGCACGAATAATAAGTAGTTTAATGTTTTTAAATTAACGCACGTGGAGAATTTGGCGCGTAGATAGATTGGCGCGTAGATAATATTGGCACGTGGATAAAATTGGCGCGTAGATAAAATTGGCGCGCAGGCAGAATTGGCGCGCAGACAAAATTGGCGCACAGACAAAATTGGCGCGTAGACGGAATTGGCACGCGGCGAGATGTTGATGCACGTGGGATCTCTTGGTGTAATTAGACCCCTCGCAGTGCAATCGATAAAAATAGTGCGGGGTTAGTAGAGTATCGCACTGAAAACGTTCAAAATGGCCCGATAAATGTGTTAGGGCTGTTAATATAGCCTTCTCAGGAGGGAATAGTAGTAGAGGCGCGAGAAATGCCAAACTCAACAAGTTAATTCTATGGAGTGTAAGAGCACGTGTAGAATTAATGCGATCGCAAGCATCGAGATGAGGCGGAAGTTTAAGCTTCGGTAAAAAAGCCCACAATATAGCGCTAGAAAATGTTCGAATAACGTTGAGTGTGGGCCAGGAGGGTAAAAAAAAGTTCCAAAAACGATGAGATTGTCAAAGATAAACCACCTGAGTAATGGCGCAATGAAGAAATCGCGTAGTCCTTCGGCCACGTGGCGAGGTGTGAGAAACACAATCTCAGCTAGCAAATCGTCCAAAAAAAAATTGTTCCAGTCGGTCCAAAAGAGGGTAGAAAATGTTAATAGGGCCCTCTTCACCGAGAATATAGCGCGAATTTGACAATAGGTTGTTTCTCTGGCGTGCAAGAAAGCTCAAAATGAATATGCTTTCGCACGCTTCGAAATGACGCGGAAGTTTAAAGCCGTATAGAACTTTCGAAGCAAGCTTCAGATATTGTTCAAAAATTGTGTAAACGATGTACGATATAGCCCAATGCTAGCGTAGAAGGTTAACAATGTTCCAAGATAATATATTCGGCGTTGTAGATACGCGTAATGCAAATTATAGCGTAATTATAACAGCGCCTTATTAAGATATCGCGTAGGTTTGACCGCGTGGTGAGGTGTGATATACACAAAACTCTGCCAGAAAAAGACGATAAAAATCGTTCAAAATATGTTCCTTCGTTCGAAGATTGCCCACGTTCGATGTAGGATGATGAGGCGGTGCAGCTGTTCTTAAAAGAACACGTAAATGACGCGCGAATGCGAGTAAAATACAGTGCTGTGCTTCGTTAGCACGAGGAGGTTTATACGGCCTTGCTGCTGGTGAAAAATTTAATACGAACTACAAGGACGGGGCTGAGATCCCTCTCAGAATAAAGAATAAATAAGCGGGGAGAGTATCCTAGCTTTAAATATAGTAGTGAGTAGCCAAACACAATCGAAAAAGCCGTGTGCGGGCGTATATCGATCCGACAGTAGAACAAGCGCAAATAACGTTGAGTTTCGCGGTCGGATGAAAAAATAGTGTTATAATAACTCACGAACAGGTCGAATATAACGTTTCGTAAAGTTGAAAGTGTAAAGCGACGTAACGTAGCCAAGGATTGAAACGGATTGACGTTTAGATAACAGCGTTCCCGAAACAACAGCAAACGGCGAAGGTCCTTCTTCGACTTGAGGTCCAAGGGTCGTCCAAAAATCGTGTCCAATAACAGTCCAAACCAAGAGATACAGAAGATCCAATCCAAATGTTCCACTAGGAGATCAGCAGAAGAGAGTTAGATTACTAAATTCAAATCACTGACCTTAACGAGCGTAGTCCAATGAGCGTAGTCCAATTAGCGTTCCAATTAGCGATCGAATTACCAGTTCCCAAAGTGATCAAGTATAGCGTTGCCAATCAAGCTGATAAGAACAGATACTACAGTTGATCTTGTTTTGGGTGGGGACCGGGTAGGTTACGAAGTCGGGGGTGCAATGACTACGAACCCTTACGTGCAAGACCGGTACACTCAGGGAGGCCGCTACAAGCGACGAAGATCGTCAGAGGTTGTGAACCTCTCCCCCGCGGACAAAACCGACAGAGAACAAACAGGAAAGATCTAGGATCTTTCGACGATACTAAGCCCCGGCATAAATGCCAGAACTTTGACAAGACGAACGAAAAAAGACGAGACTAGATATTGAAAAAGGACAGCGAACTGCCTTTTTGCTATCTACGCAACGTACAACGGACGGGCTATCCGGCAGTACAACCAATGAAGGCGACCCCCATCAGCACCGTCCAACAAATGACCAAACATCAAGACGAAAAATCCTTCGAAAAGGATACTGTGTTGTCTTCAGTGATGGAACCAACCAAGCCACGAAGCAACCATTCGTCTTCGAACTTCGTCAACAGACAGTGGCGATGTTCAAGTTTCACCGCGAATTGGAAAGTTGACTTCGCCATCCGCAACACCGAAGAGGCATCGGGAGAGAGGCGGTCGAACCTGCATCGATTGCGGTGAAGCCACAAATGATGACGAAGGATGCCCAAAATGGCATTTACGGCCGCGGGGATCTTCTTCGCGTCCGGGAATCCAAAGAGAATGGTGGATGTGGAAAGTGGCGTTGGTATATTTAAAGACACCAGTAGAGGGGTCAACCAGGCCCAAACGGTCTTGGCGACGGCACAGGAAGAAAAAAGGTGGATTGCAGTTTCCTGCTCTCCACAAAAGCAGTTAGCGTCTACACGCATGCCAAAGCGAATCAAACGGTCCGCGGTGGCCAAGTGGCCATGAAAGTTATAATAGTTCGTATCTGCACATGATCGTACAAATCGCCATAATGATAGAGAGCGCCACACAGATGGCCAGTGGACATCGATTTGTTGCGCTGCGAATTTTTCGATGGCTTTGTGAGGAGCCAGACAACTTTCCAACAAGATGGAGTACGTGCGCTTGGCTGTTAAATCTGCCAGCGGAATAGGAGCGTCGTCAGCATGTCCCACCAACCACGAATTGTCCTCATGTCTTCCTTTTAGCTGTAGCCATGTATGGACCACAGACTGATAGAACTTCGGCAGTCGTTTTATTAGATATGCGGGTGTGGTCACTCGGGCAAAAAAGGTGTATAAGTCTTGTTTAAAAACTTGACCAAGATTGTGTGTGAACAAGACCGGCCAAGGGACAGTATAGTGAGTCAGCAGTAGGCGACGTAGCCAAATTGCACGTAAAGATAAAAGTTTCGTGCCAATATGCACGACCCCCAGTCCCCCCCGAAGACGAGGAGCAACGGCAGAGCTGCGCGCAATTGGTTCTTTATTTTTCTTCCACAAAAAAGGAAATAAAAGTTTGTTTACTGTATGCACAACTGTCTTGGGCATGTCGAGGATCGTAGCCTGATACCAAAAGAGGCTCAGACCGACAGAGTTAGCGAGCAGAGTTCTCCCCTGCAAAGACAAGGTTCTCGATGACCAAGATGACAATTTTGATTTAAATCTGTTGATCAGGATATCCCAATCGGGCAAGACACAATTACCCACCCGACAACCCAGGATAATTAAGTGTCCGGCTGTCCATTTCAGAGGAACTGGCAAGTCTGTCCTCGTCTTCCAAGAACCAAACAGCAGACCCTCTGTTTTGTCGAGGTTAAGTTTTGCGCCCGTAGCATTGGCATACCGGTCAAAAAGGGAAAGCAAGGCAAGCAGACTGGCATCGTCCATGACGAAGCAAGTAGTATCGTCGGCATATTGTAAAATTTTTACAGTTTCACCAGTGGGTAATGGGAAGCCAGCTATGTCGGGTGACTCCTGAATTGCACGAGATATCGGTTCGGCAGCCAGTATATACAGCAGCGGTGAAAGGGGACAACCCTGCCGCACTCCCCGGGAAACAGAAAAAGGACCCCCGAGAGCACCGTTAATTAATATACGCGAATATAGGGTTGTATACAGTAAACGAACCCACGTTCGGAAAGAAGGTCCGAAATTCATTTTTGTTAGGACTTCTTGTAGGAAGTCCCAGTCTACCATATCAAATGCCTTTTCTTGGTCAAGTGATATTAATGCACCACCAAGGTTTGATGAGTTCGCGTGGTCCAAACAATCTTGCACCAAACGTACGATTTCCCCAGAAAAACGACCAGGAATACCACATGTTTGGCATGGAGAAACAACACTAGAGAGGACCTTGGCCAAGCGGCTAGTAAGAATTTTAGATAGGATTTTATAATCGGAGCACAGTAAAGTTATCGGACGCCAATTCTTCGGTTCCAATTTGTCGCCCTTTTTGTAAAGCAGTGTGATAATACCAGTTCGTTGCGACAAAGATAACTTCCCGTTATGAAAGGAAGCATTGAGAACCGATACTAGGTCCGGGCCTAAAAGATTCCAAAAACTACGATAAAACTCATACGTGAGGCCATCCACCCCCGGAGATTTATTAGTGGAAAAAGAGTTTAAGGCAGCAGTACACTCCTCCAAGGTAACATCGCCTTCGCAAAGGGCTGCCTCCATAGGGGACAGTTTATTGGTGATTCTGTCCAAGAAAAAAGTTTGTTCTGCTGCATCCAGGTAAGCTGCAGAAAAAAGGGCAGTATAAAAGAGCATCCACACATGCAGTATGCCTCGCAAAGTACGTACTATACGACCGTGAACATCCTTGATTGCATGCATCATGTCCCGTACAGCGTGTGTTTTTTCACGCTGAAAAAAGTATTTCGAGGAAATCTCTCCCTCCTCGGCCCAACGTTCTCGGGCACGCAAACGCGCTCCAGCTGCCTTGCGGCGATGGTGCTCGTACAGGTCGTCCTCCACTTCTTTAATTTCATCGGTTACGTTATCACCTGCGTCACGACGTGAAGAGAGCCAATGAAGATGACTGCTAAGGGTTGTGTACTGTTCTTTCTGCTTGGCCGCTACATGAGTAGCAAAGTGCACAGTCAGTTGGCGGATTAAATTCTTGCCAACGTCCCACCACACAGGTAGTGAAGGGTAATGGATTTGTTCGCGTCTCCATTCTAGCGAAAAATCGTTTATTAATTTAATATACGCTGGATTATTTAATAAAGTTTTGTTAAATTTCCAGCAGCCCCTCCCACGCTCCGGCACGTCCGGAAGAGAAAAAGAAAGATAAACATATGAGTGATCACTATGAAAATAAGGCAAGATGGAAACTTCCTTGACGCATGGTATAAAAGTCGATGACACCCAGAACATATCCAGTCGTGATGCAACTTGTCCATGGGCGCGAGACCAGGTATATGAACGTTCGTCGGGATGGCGTGATCTCCATATATCTGTTAGATTAAGTTCGTGGGTAAGGTTGGCCAAGGTGTGTGGCCAATTGTAAGCCCAAGGTGACGTTGGGTTGCAGCCAGTACGATCAATAAGGGGATCGACCACCGTATTAAAATCTCCTCCTATGATGGTAGGGAGAGAGACATCAAGCAAAGGGAGGATGGAATTAAAGAACTCTATGCCAGGGTTTTTTTGATTAGGACCGTAGAGGTTAACAAGCTGGAAGGGTGTGGAATGAAAAGAAAAGTGGATAACTTGAAACTGACCTTGTGAGTCGGTTGAAGAAGAAAGAACGGAAAGAGAAGGGAGATAAAGAACGGCAACGCCCCGCAAACGGGTTGTGCCGGGAGAAGAAAGAACTTTGTACATAGACTTGTTGTTATCATGGCGATTTTCATCGTCGATCCATCGTTCAAACTCCGTTTGACTTGTGGCATGGGTTTTGCAGGCACACGATCATGGGCAAAAACAAGAAAGCCAGGAAAATAATACGAAATCGGAGGCCTTGGCAATTCAATGTAAAATGATGATGAATTGTGAAAGGCCGGAAAGAAAGAAAGAAAAAAAGAAAAGAAAAAAAAAAAGAAAAGAAAGAAAGAAAAGAGAAAAGAAAAGAAAAGAAAAGAAAAAGAAAAAAAGGAAAAGAAAAGAAAAGAAAAGAAAAGAAAAGGAAGAGAAAAGAAAAGAAAAGGAAAAGAAGAAGAGAAAGAAGAAAAGCAAAGGGACAAAGTGGAGCCCCGTGCCAGCAGAAGACGGCACCAGAAGATGCATTGCGGTTCTCAGGTCGTGTGTCTTTCCTGAGTGAAAGTCGCACGAGACGAGGAGCAGGCGAGTTGGGCAGTTCCGCCTCCGAAACGGTAGCGAAGGAATCACCATCATCGCTAGGGTATTCATCCTCGCCAAGGTCAAGATAGTCGGCAGGGTCCATTTGGTCCACTTCCGATTGTTGTGACTCTTTGTCGTCACCAATATCATCATTTTCATCATTTTCATCATTATCATTATCATTAATATCATCGTCATTATCATCATTATCATCATCGCCATCCACGTTCGTGTTCGTGTTTGTCTCGTTGTTCATATCCGTTTCCTCATTGTCATCATCATCATCTTCATCAGTGTCCGCAGGTAGGGGCACAGTTTCAGGTGGGGATTCCGTGGTTACGGGATCATCAGCGTCACCAACAGCCACGTCGTCAGGCGTCGCACGTTTCTCCTCGGGTTGTGGTGAAGTAACCGGAGAATGGCGTCTTTTCCCACGTCGTCGAACGGGGCTTGAAGGGTGTGTAGGAGAGGACTCCGATGGAGAGGACTCCATGTCAACAGTGCCACCCCCCCCAGAAGGGGCAGAAAGGGCAGGCAAGGCAGAAGAGGCAGATTCCGGAGCGTCGGAAACGCAGGCAGGAACCGACTGGGCACTACTATTATTATTAATTATTAGCACGGGAGTGGATGGCCCGGTACGCTCGGAGGTATTAGAAGATAAGGCGTTGCTCCTTGCAACCGCGGCATACGATCGCGAAGGGGCAGCTGGTATAGAAGACTCCGTGTTATTATTGCTACTAATAGTAGCGTTATCCTCGTTGGGATTATTATTATTATAGCGAGCAAGAGCAGCTCGATAAGATGGACAGTCAGCGATGATGTGTCCCTCTTTGTGGCACTTGAAACATACAGGCTTTTGGCCACTGTATTTAACCACACACCAATGTCCGGCTATGCGGAGGCAAGCGGGGATGTTTGCCACGATCTTCATGAGCACGTTGTGCTCACCAGTATATATTTTTTCATGCAGCACCGACTTGATGGTTTTAATGCCGCCACTGTAAGGGGCAAGTGCCCTAGTGATGGCTTCGTCTGGGATGCCGTATGAAAGACGGGAAATATAAACCCAAGTAAATGGGGAAACTGATCGAAACTCCACGGGTTTCCCGTGTACCAAAAAGTCCTGATTTGAGAACGCCTGCATTTGGCGAGCGTTATTAAAAGTCAGGCAATATCTCTCTGGTGATATCTGTACGACCGCTTCAACTGTAGAAGACAATTCCCGTGTCTTTAAAAGGTTTATGACATCCTTGGCCCCCTTTTTAGGAAGGGGGCAGTCAGGATGCAGTATGATATCGACGGTTCTTGATGCGTACGGTATCATTGTGCAAGTTTAATATTATAAAATATTGCTATTCCGTTCACAAAATATTAGTAAACGGGGGCGTATGAAAAAAATTAGCAATGCATGCAATCATGCATTCAGTAATACAAGCAAGAAATCAGACGTTTATGGCAGAAAAAAATGCCCAAAGAAAAAAGTCTTCGGTCAAACAGACCAAATAAAAGTAGAAAAAGTATAGAACACGCTTAGACCAGTCGAAATATAACAACTAGTGAAAAAACACTCAGGATATTAGCGTATCTTCAAGCAGAAGTGCTCGACTACGCCCACGAATAATATAAACGCCGCGTAAATATACAACGGCAAAGGCAGAATTATTAAGAAAATCTACAGTTAAATATTAAATTCACCGAGAACAAAAGGCAGAAGGCGCTAGTCTAAAACAAACTAGCAAAAACAAGGCAAAAATAGGCAGAAACGAAGCAAACAAACAACGTGCTTCGCGAAAAGTATAATAACTTGAACGGCAAAGGCCCAAGCAAATCAAACAATAGATTAAACAACGCTGAATAACAGCAATCAGCGTTAAGGCAAAGATAAAGTAATATAATAATAGAAAGTACGAGCAAGAAGTTATATAACAACGCCCGATCAAAGTACAAACGACCTTCGATAAACGATCGTTAGGTATAGCGAAATAAACGTTCGAGCAAATATATAAACTCGAAGGCACACAGTATATAGCAGTTCCTACTTATAGCAGAAACCAAAAAGAATATAAGGCAAACGTGAAGTCTTATAATTTCACAAATATAAATCGAGGAAGAAAGCTTCCCAATTAACAAAATGGCGATATGACACGCGAAAATAAGAACGAAGACTGAAGGTGTCAGTAAGTGGCCAAACCACCCCCCGACTAGACCCTAGCAACAAGAAAAACAGAAAAGACCCCCTCCTGTTTGGTTGCCCCCTAAATGGGCCCCCTAATAAGGAACTACCAGAAAAACAGATACAAAATATAACACTTTACAAACAAGGAACGAACTCACAGTTTTGAAGACGATATTGAATATGATGACGAACAACGAACGATCACAACGCGCAGACTCCGAAACAGCAGATCTCGACAGGTCACCGTGTCTGTTAGCAGCTACACTTGATCTTATTTTGTGTAGTTTATACTTCGGCAATTTGACAACAACAGCAGAACGATATACGATCCACTGCAGGTTAGATAATAATTTAGACGATACGAGTCCAGAGAGTCGTGTATAGCAAAAACTGGTAGTTCGAAGTGAAAGAAACTTGCCAAAATCGACGACGGGATAGGTGAGCACGATGACAAAAAGATGATCACGATGCGTGGCAAAAAACAAAACAGCAATATAATATCAAAATTTCTTGACCAAAACTCATGAAACTTGGCCAGAATAAGCAGGAACACTTTATAAACAAGATTCTGTGTGGATTATCGACCGATGACTTCTTTTACACGAAAAAATTTGTAAAATTATAACTACACCGAGAGACCGCAACGCGCACCACACGTACTACACTTGATCTGGTTTTGGGTGGGGACCGGCTGAGTTAACGTAGTCGGGGTGTGCAAGAACTACGAACTCTCAGTGCTAGACCGGTACACTCAGGGAGGTCGCTACTAGCGACGCAGATCGTCAGAGGTTGTGAGCCCCTCTCCCCTACATTGGAAAAACTATGAATGGGAACGAGAACCGTGAAAAGACGGTGAAAACATTGTGAACATAAAGAGGACAATACGACGAAGGAGGACCCCATGGGCTGAGACAGCACCACCCCATATGTAGTACTACCACAACCCACTAGATCTACAATACAGAGTGGGCGATCAGGCAGTACTTCCAGTTAAGGCGACCCCCATCTCACCCACTCATACAAAAAACGAGTACATTATGTGACGAAGTCGCTGGAAAATACCAAGGACCCGTCCGTGTGTAAATGTCCGACGATGCCATCGACTAGCCACTGCTCTTGGAATTGGTGTGGCGGCACGTGTCGTTGTTGCATCTTGATCAAGAAACGACCAGCGGCTTTGCATTTACGGAGTGCTAGTACCGGATCGGATGGAAGGCGATCAAAACGGTGGCAGTTTCTGTTAAGCCAGAGGTGGTGTCGAATGACTCCGAGGAGGGCAGTAAATATCGATGGCATTTTATCCTGCTTTTTAAATCCAAAGAGGATGGTGCTGGTGGTGAGTACCACTGTCGGACGATGTGCTTGGATTAACGGTTTGATCCAAGCAAGGAGACATAGTGCTGCCGGACAGTCCGTGAAAAGATGGATTAGAGTTTCTGGTTGGCCACAGAAGCAGAGTGCATTTACGTCCATTCCGAAACGGACGAGACGATCGGCTGTGGGGAGTGCTCCATGAAATGACATGAATGCCGTGTCATGAATTGAACGCACGTAGCTCCACAGTTGGAGGGAGTTCCAGACCGAAGGCCAATGTACCGGGATTTGGAGATTTTCACAGCGTTGGATTGTCTTATGTTGTTTTACTCGGGCATGGCTGAGGATGGTATAGCCTATTTTGGCTGTCATGTCCGAGAGTGAGATGGTGGACTTTTCGCTGGGGACAATCCAAGCATCCCCCTCACGACTACCCCTTAGTTCCACCCAGGTGGTGATGAGGGAGCTGTAAAATTTGGGCATGCGTCGGATGAGGTATGCGGGGATCGTAGTTCTTTGGAAAAGCTCGATGGTTGTTTGTCGGAAGACATTCTTGATATGATGGGCCAGCAGTTCAGGCCAAGGTGGTGTAAAGGCTCTGGTTAGTAACCTTCGTAGCCAAATGACTCGGAGCGAGTTTATTTTCACCGCTACATCAATGACCCCAAGGCCACCATGAGAGCGGGGTTGAACGATGGACGTTCTGGCAATAGGCTCTCTAGTCTTGTTCCAAATAAAAGGGAAGAGTCGTTTGTTGATCTCGTGGATCACCGTTTTGGGTACCGAGAAGATTGTTGCCTGGTACCAGAATAGAGAGAGCCCACACGTGTTTGCGATCAGCGTTCTGCCACGGAGGGTTAGTGATCTCTGTTTCCAAGCTCGTAGGCGCGATTCGAATGTCTTTAACAGGCCATCCCAGTCTGGCAGAATACCATTGCCGATTCGGCAGCCTAGGACGATTAAGAAGGTCGTGGACCATTGTAGGTTGACAGGTAAATCAGTCCTATGAATCCAAGGACCAAATAGGAGGCCTTTGGATTTCGAGATGTTGAGTTTAGCTCCCGATGCTCGTTCGAAACGGGCGAATAGGGAAAATAGTGCGCAGAGGCTAGCATCTGTGGA